TTTTTTTTTTTTTGGTCGGTCGTGGGGCTTGAACTCTGGGCCTGGGCGCTGTCCCTCAGCTCTTCAGCTCAAGGCGAGCGCTCTACCGCTTGAGCCACAGCGCCACTTCAGTTTTCTGGTGGTTCATTGGAAATAAGAGTCTCACGGTCTTTCCTGCCTGGGCTGGCTTTGAACCTCGATCCTCAGATCTCAGCCTCCTGAGTAGCTAGGATGGCAGGCGCCCAGCCTGTGTTTCCTTTTTGATAGAAGATTTCACTAACTTCTGCTCCCGCCAGCCTGGCCCACCAGCCCCTCCACCTCCCAAGCAGCTAGAGCAGCTGGGATTCCAGGGCCTCCAAAGCTCCCTGAGCGATGGGATTCGTCCTGCGTATATTCCCAGTCCTATCCCCAGCACTTTGCACAGCATCTGGCTTGAACAACAGGGAAACAGAGCACCTGTTAAGGGCACGGATGAAGGTTGGATGAAGGTTGACATGGTCTAGGGCCAGGGCTGCCCCGTTTCCTCTCAGCATGCTGCCAGCTCTCCCACCAACTGTCCTGCTGGAGCGGGTGCCACACGGAGGCTGGGCAGGCCTGGCTAGCAGAACGCAGCCGAGGCCCACCGCAGCCCTGCCTCCAAAGGGCTCACTACCCCGGAGAAGCAGACAGCCCTCCCACCGTTCCTATCTGCCATGCGCTCTGGGGTGTGTGGCTTGGTGCTAGAGTGTGCCTGGTGCGTGTGAGGTTCTGGGTTGGATCTCCAACACCAAAAGAAAGAAAAAAAAATAAATGCAGCCAGATGCAGTAGTTCACACCTGCAATCAACCCCAGCGGCTGAGAAGGCCAAGGAGGAAGTTATCACTAGTAAAGTCCTGGCTGAGCAACTTTAGGAGAGCCTACCTCAAAGTATCAAAGGACAGAGGGTGTAGCTGAGCCGTATAGTTCGTGCCTAGCACTGCAAGGTCCCGGGATACAGGTACGTCAAAATAAAAGTGGGCTTGGAGACGTGGTTCCCGTGGTAGAGAACCAGCCCCTAAGCAAAAGGGTCAGATAACAGAATTGGAGTCTGAGTCTTGGAAAACAAAAAATAAAATAACAACTCTTGCCGGGCGCTGGTGGCTCACGCCTGTAATCCTAGCTACTCAGGAGGCTGAGATCTGAGGATCGCGGTTCAAAGCCAGCCCAGGCAGGAGAGACCGTGAGACTCCTATCTCCAATAAACCACCAGAAAACCGGAAGTGGCGCTGTAGCTCAAGTGGTAGAGCACTCGCCTTGAGCTGAAGAGCTGAGGGACAGCGCCCAGGCCCAGAGTTCAAGTCCCACAACGGACAAAAAAAAAAAATAACAACTCTTTGGCATTTTTAGCATGAGCTCATCTGTAGTATAAACCCACTCCTGGTTTTTCTTCCAAGGTCAGTGCACTGAGGGGCAGTTTCCACACCCCCCACTCCCAGCCCCAGGAGCCCAGAAGGTCTCCACACCAGACAGAGCATCTGGGAACTGAGCATTCAGGAAGCCAGCAAGGCCTGCGGTGACCGGGGCAGGAAGAGGATGAGGGCAGGCAGGCTAAGTCTCTCTTGCAACGGTTCACCGTGCAGAGCTGCTAACTTTTCAGAACCACCAGCCGCCCTGGCTGGAGGCCGCATGGTTAGAAAGAGACCTGGGCTGGAATTTGACCAGCAGCGAAGTCACAAGACCAGGCTAGCCAAAAAATACTTTCCTTGTCGGTGAGGGGAATGCCAGGGATCCTGTCCCCAGCGGCTGCGCCAAGTCCCAAGTGCGGGAGCCCTGGGCAGCATGTGCTGACAACCCTTCCTCCACCCTGCTGGGGCTTTCAGAAGCTGCAGCTCCCTCCCCATGAGCCCCTGGCACGTCCTCCCTGGAGCCCGGCACTATGGTCAGTGCGGTCCTCCGTCCTTTTGTCTTTCCCCTTTTAACAGTACAAGGAAGAACTGGAGAGATGCCTGTGGTCCTGGCCTGGCCGCTGGGGAGGCTGAGCTGTGGTCCTGGCCTGGCCGCTCAGGAGGCTGAGCTGTGGTCCTGGCCTGGCCACTCGGGAGGCTGAGCTGTGGTCCTGGCCTGAC